GAAAGTTTAAGAAAATGTTAATAGTTAATTTCTTCTGATGGTTGTTTTCAAACAAGTGAAAAAGGAGATACAGGTGATTTAGGAACTGATAGTTTTGGGATTATTAAACAGTGTGAAAATAATCTCCTTTATCCTAAATGTAGGAGTCATTAATAGGGGAATCATCATTTCAAAATAACTATAATAATTAAACTAAAATTTAATTAACTATCCATTCAAAAATAAAACTTCTTCATTTATATCCCCCAAATACATACAGACCTGGTAAATCCTATCAATATTTTTTAAAAGATGAAAATGTTGATACTTTTATGTTAAATAATGGGACCACATGGCATTAATAGATTCTAACTTGATTCTAACTTGCTAACAATCACTAATTATTTTCTTATTGGTAAATGAGAAGGTTGGTCTGGATGTTACTCAATTCCTTTCCATCATACTGATTCTGTGATTCATTTCCCAAAGTAATCAGTGGTCTGTCAGTAGGTGAGATATAGGAAGGAAAAAGAAGAGTTCTGTTGTCAGATGAGCTTAGGATATTCTGGGCTAAAAGAAAGATAAACAAGTTTCTTAGCTTGTAGGAATTCTTAGAGCTTCTACCATGTTCATGCACTGTGGCTCGCCAAGATGGGGGATGTAATAGCAATTGTTTCTTAAATCTATTTCATTATAGAACACATTAAAAAATAGAGCTTTTAGGGGTGCCTGGATGACTCAGTCGATTAAGCATCTGAGTTTGGCTCAGGTCATGATTTCTCAGTTTGTGAGTTCGAGCCCCGTGTCAGGCTTCGTGCTGACAGCTCAGAGCCTGGAGCCTGCTTTGGATTCTGTGTCTCCCTCTCTCTCTGCCCCTCCCCCACTCATGCTCTGTCCCTCAAAAATAAATAAACATTAAAAAATAGAAAAAAATAGAGCCTTTTTGCCTCTGCCTTATGGATATTCTCATGTACTTTCAGAATCTAGTTGTCTTAAATTGAGGTAATTCTTAGGTAAGATTGAATGAAAAGTGACAGTTTAAAATGTATTTGTGGAATTCTCATTTTTTTCATTTTGAAGATATTTGTTATACCATTACCATTACGTGAAAATTTAAACATATTGCTTTCTTTTTCTTTCTTAGATACTCTTGCTTTTAGAGTCACTTCCTTGGAAACTAACAAACCAATCAAAGAAAAAGAATATTACCTCTCTGTCTAGAAAATTATTCATTGTTCGAATTTCTCCAGTGTTTCTATTGATAATAAACATTGGTGAATCAGAAGGTTCCTGTCTTATGATCTTGAAGGCTATTTTTGAGTTCAAATTATTTGGTTCATCTGCATCAGTAGCATTGAGTCTCATCACCAGTGTATCTAGAAATCAAGAAAAATTGGTTGGGAATGGACAGTTTGCATTTTTGTTATAATACAGTATATTGCTTTTTTAACAAGTGTTAAAGTTGGTTGGTCCGTATAAGGTATGCTCTACCATTTTCCCTGTCTACTTCAACAGCTTAGCTCCTTTCTAAACTTTTGCCTATACAAAAAGATCACATTTTCCCAGGAACTTACACATTTCTGACAGTTAGAAAACAAAGATATGTTTTATTCTGTGTTTCCTTTTCATGTTCTAGTATTATCCTTTTTTTAAAGCCTACTGTGGTGAAACAAATGATATCAAGGCCAGACCAACTTTTTCCCAACTATAGAACTTACTAGCTATATAATCTTGGCTTCAGTGTCCACCCCTAGAAATGGGGAAGATCATAGTACTGTGTTCATTGAGCTCATGAGAGAATTAAACAGTTTAATGAGAAAAAATTATAGGAAGGTCCCATTGGCCGAGTTGTGTTTTGCATGGTCCTTAGTGAAGCGGTAGGTAACAAATAGGTTTAAAGAGATGCTTAACTACATACTTTGTCTTATCCCTTATCTTTTCCGTGAATCTTATAAACAGTTTTGATGAAGGACACTAGAGAAGGAAAAGCTGCCAGTGTTCATGAGCTAGAATTCTTCTTTACACTCAAAGTCTTTTTTTAGCACAAGTGCCTTGTCTGTAAACACAAATGCAAGAGATATCTCCCTTCTCACTGTGTGCACACACACGCACTTGCCTCTCAAGAATGGTACTAAGGAAAACAAACAGTGGATTTCGATTCCATTTTTCTTTTCTATATTGTGTGAATTTTTACAACAAACATTTTTAGAATGATATTTTAGAAGGGATACTATTCAAAGTATACATATAGTATTTTAATAAATAAAAGTACACTGTAAGGATTTTTGGAATTTATAGTAAATTATACCACTCAAAGGTCAAAAGTAACTATGGTGAGATGAAGTTTTGAATTTAAATGAGAAATCATCACTGCTGTTTTAAATATATTTAGGACAATCTTCCCTGGTGTGCTAGGCAGTTAATTTTCCCAAGTGACTCAATATTTGGCAGTTAAAATGTTGCCATTTACAGTAATCCATGAGGAGGACATTATACCTTCAGATAGTCAAAACTCTTACAAATAAATGGTCTGCCAAGTTTATAGGTTTTCTGGTGCCCCGTAACTAACCACTTGGGACCATCAGCTTTCACTATGCATGGAGGGGACAAACAAGGTTAAGGTTATAGTACATTCCAAATACATAAAATAAGTAATTTGAGTAAAAAGCAAGGAAAACCTATATTTATGACATCATATATAAAAAGGGAAAACAAGTTTTGCTTTGTGTTTATTTACTGTCAACAAAAACTCTTGAAGATTGTGGCCACAAAATAGATGGCCTGGAAGTGATTTCTACTAACGACTTGAAAGTAGGTTAACAAAAAAAAAAAAAAAAAAAAAAAAAAAAAAAAAAAA